ATATATATAAATAAATATATATATATATACACAAATAAGTATATAAAAATAAATGTATAAATAAATATATAATAAATATATGCATATATATAAATGAATATAGAATATTTATATATATAAATATATATATACATATACAAATAAATATAAAAATATATAAATAAATATATAAATAACTACAGTATATATAAAATTATATATATATATATATAAGAATATATAAATAAATACAGTATATATATATATATATATATATAAATATAAATATTTATGTATCTGTATATCTGTATTTTAACAACATCTATCAGTGCTGCATACTTTCGGATCGACGATTTGAAAAAGTCAAAAGTATAATTATGTACTGCACATGGCTGGACTACACAGGCAAAGCTCCCCGGTGTGTTATTCATTTGCATCTACTAGGCCAAAGAATATAGGCTAGGCCTACGTGTTTGCAAAACTGCATAACCTGAAAAAAAAAAAAAAAATGTATGGCTCGCTGGCTCGCATGACTCGCACATTGGCTCGCATGACTCGCTGGCTCGCACTTTGGCACTACTCCTTCCAATTGCCTTCTGCCTTGGATGATTCATACCAGCGTGACCACTGCTTGGGTATTTACCCAAGATCTTGGGTATTTTGACTTGGTCTTGGGTTTTTGGGTATTCCGTTAAAATCTTTGGGTATTTTATTTTTACTAAGAAAATTAAGTATTTTTGTCATAGAGAAAGAATTAAGAAGTAACAAAGTATATTTCAGTCCATTAAAGTAAGCAAAACTCAACGAAGTGCACATAACATTGTTAAATGTCTGTTAATTGCTATAAACATGAGTTCAGAATTGTTCATTTGTGACTTGTGTTACCATTGATCTTACCTAATTAATGCATTACATAATAAAACTTGATCACTGATAACACTGGCCGACTGAGGGCGTATTTTTCTATCCATATTATTACCTCATGAATATTAAATTTAATAATTAACACAAACAATTACAATAAAAAATGGTTTATAAATTGAACTAAAAGGGAAACTGTACATGCGAAAACAAGTATTTTTCAAATTTTAATGCATTTTCAGAAAGCTTGGGTAATTTTGGTCAATTTTTGCTGAATATTGGGTAATTTCGACCCAGTCATTGGGTATATCAAAAATTGTGAGTGGTCACGCTGATTCATACTGAATCGTACATGATGTGAACTCTCTCCTAGTCAACTGGAACATGAAGCTCTGGCTGAAGCAAACACTGATATCTTTGACTGGGTGGAAGCAGCAAGCATCTTTCCAGACTCCCAAGTATTCTGCATGCCTATAGTTTGAATACCATAAATATAGACGGAAAAATATAGAAAGAAAAAGCAAAGATTAATTAGGCCTACATGTACATGCATGGTATCTCTATCTTCCTTCCTTCCTAGGCCTACTAGTAGGCCTAGTCTACAAATTTAAGGCCCCAAAAAAATCTAAATCTGGTTGAAGAATATAACTTTGTTTGAGCTGTCTCTAGTCTCTCTAGTCTAACTTAGTCTAGGCCTAGATCTACTTAGACTATGAGAGTTCGAAGTTCCAACGCAAACCCAAACAATAACACTAACAACCCAGTCACACAGCTGGTCATGCCTCACGCATAGTGTCGGTGAAATGTACTTGTAGTGTACTTACTTTGTTTGGTGATGACGTTGCACATGTTTAATAAAGGCAGAGGTTGTTCCAAGTTTGTCACTTATGCTAGTTCTTTTCAGGCAAAATTTACAAACTGCAGAGTGCTTTCTGTGTTTGCTCTTTGCATCTTCATTCTCTCTCTGCTCTCGATAACCAAATTTTATTATTGCTGATGTAGAAGACATGATGAATGCGCAAAGTTTCAAAATGTTAAAACACGACGATCTGCAGTCGCAGCGCGGTGGTCGACTGGGGGCGCCGGACGCGGCCTGCCCGACCTTCCCTGCGCTGTGCACCATGCACGCGTGCATACGGTATTTTATTTCATTATTGGTTATTTTTGTTGCTGGTCTCGGTGGAAAAATCCGAGACCAAGATCAAGACCAAGACCAGAGGGTTCGAGACCAAGACCAAGACCAAGCAAAATGGTCTCGAGACCTCCAAAACTGATATTGAGATACCGCTATAATTTCAGAATGAAAACTTGTGAAATTAATTTATGCTATAAAAACACGAGTTTTCTTAAAGTTGTAAAAATTATTTTACTGGAAACTAATTGAAGAAAGACATACGTCATCTGTGCATGCGTGAACTTTGTATCCCGCGATATTTCTCAGTTCTTTTTTTGTTTATAAAACGTGGTGCGTAATGGTGTGCTTCGCACAGTGGGCTGTGAGTATTAATGAATTAGGCCTAGAATTACCAATATTTTTAGCCAAATGCTGACTGTTATTAGTCACCATAATAATAGAATGATTGCCTAAAATAGATAAATATACTCAATAAGTATTCTATTTTATTAGATTTGATTTAACTTAAACTAAATTTGATGTTTAAATTTTTACGACCATCTAGCAAGAAATGGGGATTTTCCTAGATCTGCCTAGTGCAAAAAAACGTTGTTGCCTTGTGGTAGCCAGAAGTTTACACGCCTTTCCAGTTGTTTTTTTTTTTGTTTAATAATCGGGCGATAAAGATGAAATTTCTTTATTTGAACATTTATAAATAATGTCAATGTTTCAAAATAATTAAAAACTTAACATTATAAGAACGGTTTGGAGCTTAAAAATAGGTGCGGCTTATACACAGGTAACACAAAATTCGTGATATTTCGCGTCCTAATTAGAGGGGGGGGGCGGCTTATACACAGGTACGACTTATACACCGGAATATACGGAAATTTCTTTGTTTTTACAAATATGTATACTAAACAATTAAAACTTGGAGAAGATATGATTTTAGTTCACCGTTAATTTATGCTACATTCTAAGCTTATCTTGACAACAGAAGGACCTCTGCAAATTAGTCCAAAAAATGTTTGACTGTTGAATTTTTACTTAATAGTGTTTAATACATTCTAAAATCAAACATTGCAACACAATTTAAAACTTGAAATTCAAAACTTTTAAATGACATCTTACAGTAGGAAGGGAGGGGGACACCCCATCCCAAACCCAACCCCTGCTCAGGCAACAACAGTTTATTAAAACACTGTTAAATGCCAATTCAAACACTGTTAAATGGCATCTTACTGTAATTATTTTTCATTTTTTCTTAGGTATGGAGGGGGACACCCCTTCCCAAACCCGCCCCCGCTCGGGCCAACGGGCCCTCAGATGTCGCTCCGCGACATGTTCCTCTGCCTATTACTAAAACTCCTCCTGTTATTTCATTTCAAAATGACAC